ATCCTTAATCCGATTTCGGGTTTATCGTGCAAATAATGGCTAATATCAGCCCAAATGGAGTGAATTTTGAACGTACGTTTCCACGTACATGGAACTCGGCTTCGATATACATATTTTTAATATAATCCTTCTCGAAGTGATATCGAGTTGCACTATATAGCAATTTTATTTGGTATAAAAGATTAAAATATCCCCGTTAAATTTAGTGAAAATCGATTGGATATGGCTCCTATATATTAGTTCTCTCTGAAACTAAATATGCATAGTAGTCGACCCGCCCGACTTTTGACTTTTCCTGGTTTACATATATTTACATTATTTCTTGGAAAAATTTGAACTATGCGTGAGGTATCAGACATAGTGTAGTATTCCTCTTCATCCAATACTGACAAAAATATTGGAATGTACAAAATGTAAAGAAAATCAAACATTTACTTCCAATTTTATGCGAATAATTGTAAATAAAAGCTTTAAATTTGGTGGGTAAGGTAGTGGGCAGGTATATTCCATATTCACATCACATCACAGACAAATATTTAGATATACCAAGTTTGAATGGAATGAGATATATAAATATTTAAAAGTGTAACCCTTTGTGGAAAAGGTATAAGAAGGAGTGGTCCGACACATTCCAGTTTCACATCCGATCTTGTGTTGATAGAAGTATTAGAATAAGTCAAGATTGAAAATAATCGAATGCTCATTTCGCGTTTTATGAGCTTCATGTTTATTCTAAATGTTGATCCCATTGTGGGGAAGGTGTTAGAAGGAATTGGTCGATATCTTGTATCTTCACACCAGCTCTTGTGCTAGTCTATATATTGAGACTTGTGCAATTCAAAGAGAATCGGATGTTTTCTTCGCATTTTATGTTTGCCTTTTGTGAGGGAGGTACATGTTAGATATTGTGTATTTTCGCACCTGACCTAGCACTATATAAAAATATTAGGATTTGCAAATTTTGCAGGGAATTAAAGCATTCTATCTTGTTCGATGAGGTAAATTATTTTCTGTGAAAATGATGTGCTTTTGCCGGGGAGGTACCAGAAGGAGTGGACCAATAATACCGATCTCCGAACTCGATCTAAGTTTGACAATAATATAACGAAGTACCAAGTTTGGATCAAACTGGATGCTCCCTTTCTTAAAATTCTCATAATATTGGGTAATTTCTTTGCCATTGCACCACTGTATTTAATTAAAGATGATTTTGATTTAAGGAACTACATTATCTAACAATTCATAAATCATTTTCTAATTAATCTACAATCTCAAATTTAATATTATTTATTTTGCAAAAGGTTCGTTTTGTGGACAATTCCCAGGAGTTAAAAGTCTTAAACCCCCTACAGCTTGACGCAGTCATATGTACATTAGGAAGATAATGCAGACATACATCCATACATAACTATGTACATTCGTACTTATGTACTCTAGTTGAATTTATGTGTGTTTGTGTGTGTGTGTGTAAAATACAATTCAAACATGTAGGCAGATAAAACTTTGCTAACTAACTGTAAAATGTATTTGCCACATTTGCAAAAGTTTGCACACGAATACACGAAAACAAATAAACTTTTGTTGTAGCCAACAGCAGCATCTGTGGTTGTGAATGTGGTTTCGCAAGTAAATATGCATAAATTAAAAGGATAATTAAATTCTCAAGTGAGCACACATAACGACACACATTAATAGATACAGAAGATGCACAGAAAATTCAGTACAGAATAGGAGAGTTGCACTAAAGTTTTTTTCTAAAGTGTTTGCTTACATAGGTGAATTAAATTCTTTAAATTTGAAGGAGGAAAGGGTCTTTAAATCCTAATGTTTAGTGTATATATGTCCCCGTTTTCGTATAGCCCCCAAATAATTATGCCTATTTGGATGATTTTCGCTATTTGCATGATTTTAGCCACATTTTCTAACGGAATAACGGTACTTCCCCACATAACGGCACTTGTCGACACTTTGGTATTTTTTTGTGCCAGCCTTGCTTTCTAAAATTCTCCAGACAGAATAGTCCAGCGGATTGGTATCCGGAGATTTTGGTGGCCATTATGCGCTGGAAATGAAGCGAGGAACCTCATTTTATAACCATTCTTGGGTGGCGCGTGCTGAGTGCGATGGTGCTGAGTCCTGTTGGAATGTCCAAAGTCTGCCGCCAAAATGTTTGCGTGCCCAAGGCTTTAATACATTTATTCTGATGTCACGGTCGATTAATACGAGCGGAAAGCGACAATCGGCTGTTATGGCGGCCCACACCATCACCATGGCCGGCGCTTGAGTTCCGGTGGTAAACCGAAGGTGCACATTTTCAACAGACCTCTTAAGCAAGTAAACACGATAATTTTGTTTGTTTTCAAATTGCTGAACAACGAATGTTTTCTCATCGGAGAAAACCAAATTCGGCATTTCACCACTTTCGGCAAAGCGAAGCAACTCCTTAGCTTAGAAATTACAGCAGTCGGAAGTTGGTTGCAGTTTTTTCATCTCACCCTGCATTTCCCTTCGTTCAAAATTCTGGTTCTAAGCTACATGAATTTGGCCAAACCACCCTTTCTCCATTAAATAACTTCTACATTATCTAAACTTTTGTGTGGACCACTATGCTTTACTTTAAACGACTGATTTTCATTCCTTTTATCTTTTCAGAAACAACACAAAGGACCTCTGGTCTCCGAGTGAAGTAGATGTCACACATAAAATGGACAGCTGTACATCCCAAACCTAACCTCAATTATCCCAGTTCAAAAAGAATGTGAAATTCTATTGGCAACTGATGCAACATTTTTTTAGTGAAATCGCATATGAAAAACGCTCCCGTGACCTACCCTGTAGTTCCGGGCTTTTGTTTTAAAGGCATTTTGTTCTATGAATGCATTTCATGCTTATCAGAAGCTCGTCTCTACAGGTATCTCACAGGGTAGAAATGATCAACACGGTATAATGTGAAAGGTGATAAAGCAGTGGAAAAAATAAAAACAGAGGATGTTTAATAAAGAAATTTTAATCACTTAACTGTTATGTTAATTTGTTTTGATGTAAGGGAAAATATGTAAGTACTAGATTATTGCGAATAATATTTAAAAAAAGAAAGCTCAGAATCTGTTTAAAATGTAAATTGATGAAATGTGTTCATCTGGTCGTCCATAAATCCTTCTTTCTGGTAATGTCTAAAGACTCTGAAAAAAAAATCGTTGACTGGAGAAATATTTTATATTATAAATTCTATTATGAATTTTTGCTCCGATAGCTTAGAAGCAACTCAACTTTCAACTGTTATTCAAAAAATCTATTTAAAATTTGGCACCCGTTAATCAAAATTCAGAAATTTATATTTGAAATTCAGATAATCAATTTCATTTTTTAAAAATCTTAAGAATATATTTAAAACAAGCATAAAAGCTGTTAATTCGGCCGGGCCGAACTTTAAATACCCTCCACCATTTGGAACAAATTTGGTAATTAAAAAAAATCCATTAAAAATTCTGTTAAAATTTTAAAAATACCGAATGTAGCAGTGGACCCGCATAGGCAACTTTTGTCATAAGCCATTACAATATTCAAATGCGGAACTTGAAAAAATAGGTGAATAATGTACCTAAAATCATCAAAATACCGAATATAGGGAGGTACCGTTATATGGGGGCTATACGAAGACGTGGACCTGCACAGAAAATTTTCTGTCTTAGACTGTAGTATGCATTACGAAATTCAAATCCCAAATTTGAAACAATTCCGGTGAATAATGTCGCTAAAATCATCAAAATACCGAATATCGGGTGGTACCGTTGTATGGGACTATACCATGCCGTGCACCTGCACAGACAAATTTCTCTATTAGGTTGTAGTATCCAATTCGAACTTCCAATACCAAATTTGAAACAATTCCGCTGAATATTGTCAATATCATCAAAATTCCGAATATCGGGAGGTGATATTTTCTGTCATAGACTGTACTTGCGAACTTCAAATACCAAATTTGAAACATTTCCGGTGAGTAAAGTCGCTTCAATAACCAAAATACCGAAAATAGGTAGGTACCATTATATGGGGGCAATGCCAAAACGTGAACCTAAATGGCCAATTTTCAATACCAAAAGTCCTGCAGACATAATACACATTTGAGGAAAACTTATCAATCTACTTCATTTCGTTCGGAAGCTAGAGTGATTTCCACAGACGGACGGACGCTCATCGATAAATCGACATAGAATTGAGCCTAGAAACAAGTGTTTCAAATTTGGTGAAAATCGGTTCAGATACCGGATTCGTTAAATTTCTCTTCCACAGCCGTAATGTGAACTCCATAACAACGATATTCGGGAAAATATATGAAATACATTTCAGAAATACCTCTGCCAAATATTATCGAAATCGGTTCAGATTAGGATATAGCTCCAATATATATCTTTATACGATTTCGCGTTTATTGTGTTAATATAAGCCCGAACTGAATGAATTTTGGCACATACGAACGAATTTAGCCTGAAAGAAGGTGTATCAAATTTGGTGAAAATCGATTAAGATATAGCTATATATCCCATATATATGTTTCATACGATTTTATATTTTGCTCCCTCTCACCCGTAAACCACGATCCATAACAACGATATTTGGTATCAAGTATCAGATACTGCATAGAAATACCTCTGCTAAATTCTATAGAGATCGGTTAAGATTTGGGTATAGCTCCAATATATACCTTCATCCGATTTCACGTTTATTGTGTCTAAAAGTAGGATGAATTTTAATGAATATCGGTTCAGACACAAATTTCTCCGACAAATTTTGTAGAATACGATAAAAGCTTGCCATACATTAGTTCCTTTCGGCTTTAAGTTATATCTGCTTTAAAGATCATAGTTGGTATTTTTTAATTCTCATAAATTCCTTGGCAATGCATTACTTATACTCTCAAAATCGATGAACTTTAACATTATTCACCATTCCCATACATGAATAAAGAAACTCTACACATTTTCTCACACCATTTATTACTGTACAAATACATACATATAGCGGTAATATGTTTTAAATACATAACATGTACATCTCATAATACAAATGTTTTCAAAAAATATACTTAAAACTACAAGTAATCAATTATCAAAATTGTACGCTTATCCAGAAAAAAGATAAAAAGTGTAAGAGAGAAAAAGGTCATATTCTTAAAAACTATCCAATGTACGTTCTATCTGCAATACATCGTTCATCATGTAATTGCGCATGTGACACAGGGCTCTGACAACATCGTCAGCATTACTGCTAGCAAAGCGCCCCAACCACTGGGACGGCAAGAGATTCTTGGGCTTTGTTATATCAGCCGGTGTTACCGGTGTCAACGCTCTCTTCCAATTGGCCGAGTTTTGGGCATTCTGTTGATGGGTTGTACCTTGCAAGGAGGCAATATATTTGATATAAGCTTCCGAGTGTAAAACACGTTGTGGTCGTGGCGGCACTGTGACAAACAATGGCTCTGGAGGAGGTGCAAATATTTGCGGTTGATACGTATAGTGATGTTGCTCAACGCCACGTGGGGAATGACTTGCATTGACCACCATTGGATTTACATTAGTGGTCATTTGTTGTTGCTGTTGTTGGGGCGCAAATTGTACTGTTTTGGACTTACGAGGCACAAAGTTTTTGCTTCGTTCATTGGGCATTACAAGCTTACTACATTTAGTTAAATGTACTTCACGCACATGTTTGATAAGCCTTACCAGCGATGGAAAAGCTTGTAAATTCTTTTTCATGCGTATACAATTACGCCATTGGCAATAATACTCTGATTCAGTTTGCTGTGAGGCCGTTCGTTGGACGTGCCCTGTATTATCGGCTATGCAATGTTCCATACAATCGACTGAATCTTCAAACTGATAGTCACACTTGTCCCAATGACACTCAAAAGTAAGGCCGACCTGTTGATTGTCGCCACCTTGATTTGGACCAGGGCTGGCACAGTTGTTCATGGATAGAGTTTCTTCCATGAGCTCAAAACGGGCTTTTGTTTCTTCGTTAATGCGTTGAGCCCTATCTTCCCAGGCTTGTTTGACACTGGCTGGTAGATTTTTCCATTCGTTACCGACCATGCGGGAAATGTCACCGAACGAAGCATCGGGATTTGCGGTACAAATACCCTTCCTGTGCTCACTCGAATAGAGGATGTAGCCAGTAAGACTTTTCTTTGTCGTCTTAGTTTTCTTAGATGACAGGGGAGTTGACGAGACCGATGGTGCCGGCGATGATGTTGTAACAATATCCGAACTAACCGAAGGAGGATTACCATCCATAGAATCTTCCATAATACCCAAACTTTCATTTAAATCTCCATTCTTAACATCCTTCGATGGTTTAATGGGTACTTTGAAATAGAGAATTTCATCTTGTGTCACTTCAGCGCTGTGAATGAATTTTCGCAATGAATTTGGTAGGTTAAATTTACGCAAAGATTTCCTTAGCTCATCGTAGGCTGCTTCACAAATATAAACATCACTTTCTACAAATTCGGTGGGACGGCAGGTTATGTATTCCTGATATTCCAAGACAGCACAACGTCCGACAATACTAATGATGGGACTGGCTTCTTCAACTGTGGAGAGCAATAACTCTTGACGATAGAATTGTTTGCCAAATGGTGGCTGTGTTGGCAGTGGTGGTTGAATTTCACTTGGCGTTAACAACCAAGGCCCCTTAAAATAGGACTTATTGTTCTGTTCCCAGATTTGGTGAATTTGGGCAATCGATTGTTTACCTCCTTGGGTAGCCACATAAACAAAATCACCCGTTTTAACAACACCGCTGCAAATGGTGTTGAACTGCTGATAGTACACAGCATTGGGCTCAGCATTTGGTGGAGGGTCACAGGCTACATTGGGTTTTTCTTTCTCCACCAATGACTCCTGCATTTTCAACTCCTCCAGTTCACCCTTGTGTTTCTCTACACGTTCCTTGAACACCGACATAACTCGTTTGATTTCGATGGGCTTATCGCGTGGTGTAAGCTTCACAGGGTCATTCTCTCGAACAAATGGCCAGTTTTTGAATTTCTTAAATGACCGTGAACGTACATGATAACGAGATTCACACACAAAGACATCCTTGTCATCAAAGTTTTCAGGTTTAGCTTTGATATAGTCCTTAATGTGCATTACATAACATTTACCCTGTACCCTTTCCATGGGTATATTCTGTGAAACACTGCTCTTGAATACTTCTTTTTCAAAGAACTTTCTTGTCTGAACATGGTATGTCTCATGAGGACTCAAAAACACTGAACCATACATCATTTTTTTATCATCCTCGGTGGTCCAAAGGCGTTCAATGTACGCTATACTCAGAGATTTATGTTCATTGTGGGTAAAGTATACAAAATCTCCGGGGGAGAAGACTTTTTGGTTAAATGTCATACTTTCCCCTTGCATAGCAGCTCTATCTACGTCCTCTTTATCATCTTGATCTTGTTCCTCCTGAGAGGATTTTTGTTGCTTTAATAATTCCACTTCAGCCATCATCTTATCGAGAGTGTAGCTCAATGCAGGGCTACTCAATGTGTCGCGACAAACTTCGTCTCTCTTCTTGATAAAGAATGTCTGCAACTCTATAGAATCTTGAAATATATCCGAATCGGTGCGTGACAGTTTTCTGGCCCTTTCCAAACAGGCAAAGACATCTTCTTGGAAGATGTCCAAACGTTTATAGACACCCTTATACAGTCGACGTTTCACCACATCCAATGATATGCCACGAACCTTTTGATCACCTGGCAATTCATCATATTCCGGTAACTCCAACAAAGAATCTGAATAACAACGTCCCGCCTCATCTTGATGATTATACAAAGAAGAGAATAAAGACATTAACAGTTCTTGTACGGCCAAGCCCACATCAGGTACTGTATCACCGGCACTACGTAAACTCTGTTTCAGCTGCAATGTCAATTGCTGCAACACTAATGCATCCTTGTAAATTTGGGAATCAGGTTCATTATATTTACAAGAATTTTCCAACATCAAAAGGAAATCTGCTGCCAATTCATCGATTGTCTCGTAAGAACCTTGTTTCAATTTGTTAGCAATCTTTTCCATATCAATTGGCTCTTTTATGATATCATAGTAATCTGGGTAGTCAGTTTTCGATGGTAACTTTGTAAAGATTAATGATAGCTGACGTTTTCCTTTTGGCTCTTGATAATCCCGAATAGACTCGTAGAATTGCCACAACTTTTCACCCATTGGTATATTTGCCCTACGTCTGCCACATTTTAGTTTTTGTAATGGTTTCTTGATTTCATTAAGTCCTGGGAAATCTTTTAATAGTTTTTCATTCAACGCCTTTTCCAACACATTGGCATCTTCATATATATTGGAACCTGAAAACAAGAGATTTTAATTAATATTTTCTTTTTGAAAAAACGAAAAAGGTACAGAAAAAATTTAAGCAGTCATTATAAACAAGTAGTGTAGTTAGTACTGGAAATGAACCGGAGATGTCTTCAAAAAGTACAGGAAAATATTGTATCTTTTAGTTGACCTCAGAGGGTTTTCTAGCTGAAAAGTGAGTCAAATAGGCGAACTCAAGAGCCTGTATTTATACTAGAGATACAAGTGGGTATACCGGAGCAAAAATCTTTATAGGTGAGAGAGTTCTAAAGGTTATCTCAAATTGAGTCTTTATAGATTTTATAAATAAGGTGAAAAGAAATGCACGTGTCTTTAAAAATGAGCAGAAATTATGTCTTTATAGACGATCTAAAAATAAGTCTTCATAGACAGGCAGACAACAGACGAGCCGACAAGGACTCTTTATAGGCAAGCCGAAAAGGATGTATTTGATTACAATCTGAAAGATATATTGGAAAAAACAAAATTAATGAATAATAAGACACATGCAATGGGATTTTAAGATGAGATGAACGGGCGCTAAAAAATTAAATTAAGTTTTTATAGAGTCGCTGTAGGTATTGCCTGAAGTCGAGGATATACGAGATTTTCAGACTTAAAGAGACAATCTTAATGAACATGGTCAAATAAATCTATTCAAGATGGGGTCCGAAGTGATTCAATACAGACGTTAACTGGAGAAGATCTTTACAAAGTACTAATATGATCTTGTAAATGAACACAATGCAGTTCACGCAGTATTTGGGTAGGACATATGCACTGAATCGCCAGAAGGAATAACGTATACAATCGGAAGAGAGAATATTTATATTAAAACAAGGTAGTAAAGCATTATTTATGTTATCTCACCCTCTTCATTATATTGACGACAATTGGCAAACATCAAACGATAATCGGCGACAACATCTTCAACATCACGATATTTATCCGCCCGTATATTGTGTTCAATGGTATTCATGTCAATGGGATTTTGAATGACATCATAATAGTCGGGATATATTTTTCGTGGCGGCTTTTCCATAAATAAATCAATTGGCTTGCGAGTACCCAATGAAAAGTCCAATAGATATTTATGTAGAGCCAAGATCTTTTTCTTAAGCTGTGGAGTTATGGTCATACGTTGTGGTTTAGGTGTAGCTACCACTGATGCATTTAACGTGCTGCTATTGGCTGATTGATTCAGACGTGGACGTCCTTTTTTTCTCTTTTCCGGGGTTGGTCCTGCAGACGCAACCAAGGTATTCTGTTCACTTTCATCATCATCATCGGCGTCCTCATCCTCTTCCTCCTCCTCCATTTCACTGGTATCTTGATCGGGAGTATCTTCTACCAATTTGGCATTCATTAGTTTCAGCATTTTCACAGCATCTTTATGGGTGCGATGTGTAGGAGGATAAGCCTTTTTGGCATTGTCAAGCATTAGATACAGATCGGCTGTTAAATCACTTATATTGGCATATTCTCCTTTATTCAATTTGGTATGAATTTGACACATGGATATGGGACGTTTGATAAGCTCAAAGTACTCCGGATGGAATCTGCGTATGGGTAATTTCCACAATGATGTACCCAGTGGTGGACCTGTTGCTCCAGGATGTTCAGAGAAGCCGGGAGCATTATAAAGATGATCGAACAGTGCCCACATGGGACCTTCTCCCTTTTTGCTCGTCTCCTCGTCATCGGAACTATCAACTTCTTCCTTGAGCGCAGCAATGGCGGCGCTCATTAAAGATTTTGGCCTTTTTACGAGCTTTACTTTAGCCGTTTCCAATTCCACCCGTCTCTGAGTGAATATTTTCTTTAAAGTCTTGGCATCTTTGTAGATTTGTGATCCAGGTTCATTAAATTGGCATGCATTCTTCGTCATTTGTAACAAATCCTTTTCCATTTCCTGCAAATTGGAATAGGCATTGGTTTGTATCTTTGTGGCAATCAATCTCAAATCGATGGGATGTTCAATAACATCATAATAATCCGGGTACATTTTCTTCGATGGTAATAATAGAAACATTCGGTGTAAGGGTCTATCATTCATTGTACTATCTACAGATGTCATTACAGATGCAAACAACTCTTCATATAAATTCATATCATCATCTTTACTGCCGCCATCTTCATCGGCTGTGCAAGTCAAACGTCGTCGGCCTCTTTTATTTTTTGGTTCGTCCTCTGCCATACCAAGAGATTCAAGTAGTTTTTGTTTGTTTGCCGTAACGTACTGCCACAGTGCCACGGCATCTTGATGTTCCATTGTGTCTGGCTTGTAAAAAGCCTTTGCATTGTTAACCAACAATTCGAAATCTTGCACAAGCTCATCCAAGTCTTCATAAACATCCGTTTTCAGTTTCTGCTGTATTTTCAATAAATCAATAGGATTGTTAACCACATCATAATAAGATGGCTCCTGGCGTCTCTTTGGTGCCCTTATGAATGTGTCACACAACATAGAGCCATCTTCCTTCTTCAAATTGCGTATTGAATCGTACAGTGATTGACACATTTCACTTGGATCTAGCTTGCGTTTCTTACGAACCGCAGTCAAGGAGGAAATTATGGAATTTGATGCAGTTGCCAATACCGGTGATTTCTCCGGCGTGGAGTCGTCCATTTGTAAAGGTTCTTCGTCATTCTTACTGCTAATCGAACTTGCGCGGCGTTTACGGCTCAACATAATGTTTGTTTAGGTATTAGGATATATTCAATGCAAACACTTTTAACTTAAAATAAATAAATTTTCTTTTCTTAAATTTATTTTAAAAAAATCACACAATTTCCTCCAAATTTTTTCCTTTGCTAGATAGACGCCTAGGGATAGGTAAGTCGACTTTCGCACAATTTGTCGTCTCTGCTTCAAGCGCGTTGGAAACAAAAATGAAAAACGTCCCAACGAAACGAATATGAAGGCCACAAAGGAATACCCGTCTCTGATTCAAGAGCGTTAGAAACAAAAATGAAAAACGTCCCAACGAAACGAATATGAAGGCCACAAATGAATACCCGATAAAGAATAAACAGAAAGCAAAGACTCGGGGTACTCTGTTGTTTACGAAGGAGACATGAGAAAATTGAACATTTTCACTAAAGAGCGCGGAACTAGTTGCTACTATCGTTTGCCGAACTCGACTATGGACTTGGGTGAAAACCGAGTACTCGACTATTGATAGCAGTGTTACCACCGAAGAAACGACATTTTGTCCAGGGAGAGTAAAAATATTACATATTTTGGGAATTTGTATCAATATTTTTAAATAATTACCTTTGTTAACAAAAAGTACTATATAGCCCAAAAACAAAAGTAAGTTCATTTTGTTATAAAATCTAATTTGGAATTATTTAAAGTACTAAATATTCGATGTCTTAAGTATGCAATATTCCTCTCTTAGCTTATTATCTTCATATACTCTTTATTAAAATTAAACTGTAAATGTGAATCCCAATCATTTCTTGACTTTCTCAAAAAGCATCAGCTAAATAGCAATTGTAAAGGGAAGGATTATAAAAAAGTTTTAAAAGTAGCTAAACAAAGTAAAGTAAAGTAAACCTTATTAGAGACTTCTTCTTTTTTGGTAAATGTACGTACAAATCGAAAGGTTAACATGTTTAACTTAGAACTATAGTCGTCATGTTCTATTATACAGTGAAGTCGTAAAGATATACTACTTAGCGTAATATGAGAATGTATTATGTATTTCATTCAAGGTGAAAAGAGAAAATGAGGCTTGCTCCCGGCCAATAGCTAAACAGTAAATTGCACATGGGACACACACATGAGGTGGCAACACTGATTCATAGTTGTTGTTCGACTTGCTTTACTAAAATTTTCTTTCCTTGTTAAAGAGACGCCATAAAATACCATTTCGTGCGTAAACACAGAGTTGTTTCGAAAATGTCACTCCATTGCCTACTTCACAAAGACGAATTTTGGTATCTAGACAATTAATACATGAACTCTACTGTCTTCTTATACCTTACACCACGCTGTGGTCAGGGTATTATGTATTTGTGAAACAAACATGGAGAAGGAAGCGAGATAGACCCAAAGTTACATTTGATGATCCACATAGGATCACTTTCTGAGTCGATTTTGGCATGTCCGTTCGTCTGTCCATGTATTTTTGAAAACAAAGTACAGGTCGCATTTATTGACTGATTGTACTCCATAACAATAATATTGAGGAAATATATTAAAAAAAACCGCAGGGAAATACCTTTGCCAAACTCTATCGAGATCGGTTTACATTATGATATAGTTCCCATATGTATTTTTATCCCATTTGATGTTTATTGTTCTCCAAATGGTTAATATAAGTCCGACTGTAGTACATAGTACATACGACCGAATTCAATCTGGAAGAAAGTTTGCCAAATTTGGTGAATATCGGTTCAGATACAGCTATAGGTCTCATATATAAGTTTTACCCAATTTTGTATTTAAGTCCATCACACCCATAAAATGCACTCCACAACAATGATGTTTGGTGCGAGCTAACGGATACAACACAGAAATGACTCCGCTAAATTTTAGATCTGTTTAAACTTCGATACAGCTCCCACACATATCGTCATCCGATTTCACGTTTATTATGAACTACAGATGTAATATCAGTTCAAATGGGATGGATATTGGTGAAAATCGGCTCAGACACAAATGCCTCCGTCAAATTTAGCGAAAATTAATCTAGAGTACGATATTAATGGTAAAACTAAGAAGGTAAAGTCATTTCAAATAAGTATATCCATCTCTGTTTTTGCCAATTCTGTGTGACTTCTGCCAATTCTGTGTATGTATTAATTGTTTTATTTAGACGAAATCCACTCATTCCATAAAAACAGCTTATCTCTTGCCTGATTCACTTGTTGTTTAAACATGTGGAGTTATTTGACGTATAGTATTATTTTTAATTTCACGAATTACCAAGACAAATTAAAAAAATGTCGTATAAATTAAAAAGTGATTTAAAAAGCATGGCATACTGAAGAGTTTCAATTACTGAAATATTCAATCTCTTTGAGACAAAATTAAGCTTTGCATGAAATATTTTGCTTCGTAACTAAAAATTTCACAATTTTTTTCGATATCGTAAAGAAAAATCCGCTATCCTAGTAAAAAGTTTACATTCTTTAAGTTCTGGATTAGTGATGATCTTCGATTAGTGAACATTTATATTTGTATTTTGATATTTTTCGACTATTATTCTTTTAAATGTTTTATCTGCTGATATTTAGAGATTTATTTTTTCACTTCATGATATATGTAAATATTACTTATTAATTAAATAACAAATAGTCTGTTTAAACATAGTAGAGTTTTGCCACATGTTGAAGTGCCCTGTTAAAAATACAACCCTATTGTGCCAATTTTTATGTGGAACGACAACCCTGTCATTAAACGCAAAATATCTACTGCAATTTGCATCAGGTAATTTATCGCCGGGGAATTTTTATTATTTATTTACGTTGTATTTTTATGCCAAGCAATTATAAAAAAGGAAATACATTCAATTACCAACATTTATTACAGCAATCGTCAAACTCGTTAATAAAAGCTCTGAAAAACAATGACTGGTCGTGGAAAGGGAGGAAAAGGTTTGGGAAAAGGAGGAGCCAAGCGTCATCGTAAGGTACTTCGTGATAATATCCAAGGTATAACCAAACCAGCTATTCGTCGTTTGGCACGCCGTGGAGGTGTTAAACGTATATCTGGCTTGATATACGAAGAGACTCGAGGTGTATTAAAGGTACGTATGTTGGTATGTGTGTGCGTGCACGCATTACAATCATACCTGTATGAAAATGTTTTGTTGTTTGTTTGAATATTCTAGAAATAAAACATTTTATTTTCTCACTTGTCAAAGGTATTCTTGGAAAACGTCATTCGTGATGCTGTCACCTACACCGAACACGCCAAACGTAAAACTGTAACGGCTATGGATGTGGTCTATGCATTGAAACGCCAAGGTCGTACTTTGTACGGTTTTGGTGGTTAAGTTTTCTGCTGGGGTAGACGATCTCATTCGTATACAACTGTCATATTGATGTAACGTATTAAAGCAAGGAAAACCCATCAATTTATTCCAGATATTGACGCAGAATAATAAGAATTCCATTTGAATATGACTAAACTATCATTCGATTGTGCACACAATACATATTAAATAGTAATATAAACCCTATTTGTTTGGTGTTCCCTTTGCAAATAATAATGACTATGTTTTTGGCAAATACATTTCGATTGTAATTTTGAGATAATATGACAGTATAATAAACATAAATCAGTACTATTTTAAAAGCAAACACAAACATCATGTTTATCTTGAAAGTAGGTTGGTAGGAACCTAAAATGCACTTTCATGCACAGCAAAGCACACATCTCTATTCTACTTTTTATATCCTCTGTACTATTTCCTATACTAGAATTAAATGAGACTAAATTTCCCAGTGGATTTAGCCAAAAATAGTACTTGAGGTTTCATTGAGTTTGACGTAGTCAAGGTCATCGAGATTCTGATCCAAGTTACGATTGCAGAGGAATCAACGAATTGAATAAAACTAATATTTTGTAATTTTTCTAAATCTTACAGACTTTTAGAAGAAATAACAAAGGAAAGTTTGTTTCTGCTTTAGAATGCAGGTGGTTCTAGAGGTTAATTACTCTTTATTAAGCTTGGCTGGATCCCCGTCCTTTGGCATCAAAATTCCATACAAGTTTGTAAAAAAGGAACTAGGTTAAAATGATGGATGCACATGTAGTTTGGCTATCTCCGGATCACCCTGGGAACGGGGTTGGCCAAAGGTTTCCAAAAACAATCTTACCGATTCCTCTTTAACTACAAACTTTCAATTCTCTCCAAACAAAGTTGTAAGTTTCTAAAGCGATTTGAAACAATCTTGTCAAACTATTGCCACTGCTGCTAATGGTGTTAAATATCTTATTTTTTCACATTTCCCCTTTTTATAGAAAAATAAGATTTATTTATATATCTATTATGGCATAACCGACACATTCGAATCAATGATATTGTTATATTATTTACACAGACAATTTTCATAGCACAAAAGCTCTCTCCTCGTGTCGGTGAATATATGGGACCACTGCAAGAACTTCATACATCTTCTTACTCATCACCCAAACCAAAGAACAACGAACGCGGTGATTTTTCACGTTTACTTCTTCGATTATTCAAATAGTTATCCGTTTCATTTGGCTCCATATCATCATTAGCACTTCTTGGTGACATTGGTATTGGTGTCAAAGGCATTGCTGGGGATTTTTTACCACGTCTTATGAATACCTTTAACGGTTGATAATTATCCACTAAATCATTACGCAATGTGTCTGAATCGGAAGTAGAATTGATTTCGCTATTTGTACTTCTTGGAGTGGCCATCGAGAGGTCATCTAATTCTAGTTTCTTTAGATTTATATTGGAATTATGATTGTTGTTTTTGTTAAGATTTTTTACTAAAATATTGTTGTTGATGTTGCAATCGGCATTATTGTTGTTGTAAAAATTCACGTTATTCTTTTTGGCACTTCGTAATTGCATTCGTGTATTTATAACTGTCGAGACGGTACTGCGACTTGTGTTATTCGACAAAGTGTCCCCAATATTGCTCTCAATTTGAATGGTTGTCATATTGCCCTGGAAGAGATGATACCATGTTTTATATTAATTATTTTAAAGTAACATTGTTGTTTTCAGTTGTAAAGGGCACTATGAACGTAAAGAGTTCTCAGAATTTTTAGAAAAATTTTAGTATTTATAGAATAACACTAACATAGAAATAATAACGGTAGAATTTATATTTATGATTGTTCTACAGATTTAAAGTTTGAAATTATATAAAAATATATGGTGCAACAATTAGTAGCCCTGTATAGTATATCCCTAACTTGGTCTGAAACTAGAATCTTGAAAGGGTTTTGTCATACGAGTGAAGGCTAAGTTGTTGGAAATTCGCATTAATGAGTACGAAAAGTAATGAGTATGTAACAGTTGGTATTGGACAAAGTGAATGATATAGATGGAGTGGAGGAAAGATGTATAAGAGTTTTTGGAAATTCGAACTTTAAGGTTACAAGAAGTTCTAAAATAGTGCTAGACTTTCAAATTGGTACCAATTGGTATTAGAGGAACGGATAGATCTAAAAACTAGAAATCTGGTATGAGAATCGAGTTTGGAATGTAAAATTGATACATTATGGTGGTTTTAAAAAAGTGTATTAAGTGTGCGAACTGTACTAAATCGTAATAACTTGGAACAGTTTGGTTCAGAGTGAACGGAAGGTTGAATTTTGTTTCGGAAATTATTGTATGAAAAGTACTGAACGGCACAATATTTGGTATTGGGTGAAGGGATAGAAATTTTATATTTGGTTTACCTATGGTATCTGTATTTAAGATTTGGCGGAGAAATGCTTCCTATATTTGTACGAAAAGCACTAAATGGTAATAAGCGTGGTATTTTGTTAAGGGAAAAAGCTGGAATCCTCAAATTTGAGGTCTCTGTTGGTATGGTTGGCGAAATCTGACCTAAAACTTGTAGTAGGCTTAATAACAGGTCACTTTAGGTTAGGGCCATGAATTCTAAGTGGGGGCCATGGGCTATTGCAGGCTTTGTCAAGACGAGGGAGAGATAGAAACTGCGAAACATTTACTCTGGCACTGTCCAATTCTTTTTAGAGCGAAACAGAGGCTCGCGGGTAAGCGAACTCTGCATGATCTGTCTACACTCTTTAATACTGAGCCGTCAACAATACTTCCGATAGCCAGAAGACTAATATGGCTAAAGACAACACTATAAATTCTGCGTGCATACATCTTATCTAACATAATCTTTATCTCTCTCTCTCTCTTCATTTCTTTCCTTTCACTCTAATCAGGATGATAACAATGTACCAACAGTGTTTCGAGTGGGGACATCCTCATCCTCTAACCTAACCTCTGTTGATATCTATAATTGAAAAATTGGAGTGAGTTTGGAAATGCGTCTTATAATTATTCGAATAGTACTAAATGCTACTACATTTGGCATTAGTTGATGGGATAGGACAGCATTCCTCAAAATTTGATATTGAGGTCTCTGTTGGTATCTGGGATTGAGATATGGATGTGGTTATTATTAGTACTAAATTTGGAATTAGTATTATTGTACTAAATTTGGAATTAGGTGAAGGAATAAGGGTGATATTGAGCTTGATATTGAGGTCTTTGTTGATATCTCGAATTATGATTGGATGTGCATTTGGAAATTTTGAAATATTGATTTTGGATAATTGTTGGTGTCTAGGATGGAGAGATGTGGGTTGTTTTGGATATGTGTACTAAATGTTACTAATTTTGTTCTTGAGTGAATGTATAGAGTTGGAATGCCGAAATTTGATATTGAGATCCCTGTTGCTTTTTCTGGTTTACATATGTAGACTTTGAAATAAATTTGGGCAGAAAATTGGATGTGGGTTCATTGTGCAATGATTTTATTAACCTCCTTATCGGTAAACTTCAAAATTTACGATTTTGAAGACATTTTGGTGTAAAAGGTAAACATTTCCTTATTATGCTTTCCGAAAATGAAAAAACTTCAATAAGTTTTGATTGAAACATTTTGTAAAATGGAACAAATTGTGAATTTTGAGTACTAAACGAAAGACTTTTCACAGTAGTGTGCACTAGCTATTGTCTTTATAAAGTTTCAAAGCAATGTTTTTAATATTATTGTACAAAATACTTTGTACATACATATGAGTTGTGTTGAGACGCTGGGAAAATCTAGCAATTAAAAATACATTTTCTAAATTTTCCTAGTCGCCATAAAATATCATTTCATCTATTTCCCTAAAAGCTACTCTGCCTTTCTAGTTTTGCAATAGGGAATAGAATGTCCGCATCCCAAGTCATAGTCAATCACCAATAACATTAATATTTACCAAATAAATAATTCGTTATTCTGTATTTGTAATAAATAGGTATAGACTAAATAAATATATTATACTATTAATATTCTCCCCTTTGAAATTCTAATACCAAATCGTATGAACATAAAATCCCATAAATTTCTTTACGAAATTGCAAAGCATTTAAACTTACATCGCTTTCGTTGGAAAATTCATGATCCGATTTGGAGATTTTACGTTTCGCCGAATCCTTAGGTGGTGATTCAACATATTTCATTTCACTTTTTACTTTGCGAACTTTATGTGATTTTCTCGACTCTTTTGGTGTTAAGGTTTGTTCGCTGGTTTTAGAAGAAATGCTATTGAAAGGAATGGAAATAGTTTCATATTCTTCTTGTTCGTTTTCCATTGACTGCTGCAAACGGTGGGCGGTTTGACGAGGAGTGGCTTCGTCATTACTGCCGGCAACGCTATTGGCCAATTTTTGAAAATCGTTGCGCCTAAATAACAAATAATTTTAAATACCATAATTTCTCAATTAATCTAATCTCTTTGGGGCTTACTCTCTTATGATTGATTGCAATGACTCATCCTTGACCAGTACATATCCATCGGGTATTTGTGAATTCATTTTGCTTTCCAATTGACTTTCATAGGCGAGAATTTGTTGATTTAATTTATCATTTAACTGTTCGGCTTTTTTACGTAACATTCGTTCAAATTCAAGTTGTTCTTCGAGTGTTTTAATTTGTTCCTTAAGTGCTGCAATGGTTATTTTGGGACGTTTGATCATTGTCCCATTAGGTCCTGGTACCAACTCATGATTTTTCTCAGCCAACAGCAATTGATCTTCATCTTCTTTACCCAACTGCTCGCGTATGCTACGCTGTAGAAATTTACTGATACCCGCATTGCCACGTACATTGAAATCAATTATATAATTATTGAGCTCCAAACAATCGAGTATTAAATTTGCTGCACGATCAGTAAGGCCACAATTTTCCATATCAATGACTAGGTTTGGGAAAAAATATTTTATTCTTAATATAATAAATAAAAAGTTTACATTCCTCACCCTTTATCCACACATCTTCCTTTAATACTTCCACTATCGGTTTTATACCCTCGTCGCCGATTTGGGGATTGCGTGCCAATGTAAGAGATCTCAATCCTGGCATTGTGTCAGGATCGACATCTCTGTAACGCAGAGATTTTTGCCAGCCTTCAGTGTAACGACTTATTTTCTGTATTTTCACCATATCGGCCACATATTCGGCACCCTTTGTTGTCAATTCACATTCCGATAAATTTAATTTCTCTACATTCTCTAAATATTTAATTGTATTGCAAATGGCCTCGCAACCCTTGTCGCCAATATTGGAACGTTGAAAACTTATATCGTTTAAGCTTTCATTGGACGATAAAGCCTGAAAATATATGAGTAAAGGGAGATGAAAAAACTGCAACCAATTTCAGACTGATGTCATTTCTAAGCCACTCGTCCGACAGTGTTTAAATTATTCCAGTGACAGCTCATTATATTGTTTACAAGCGTACAAAAGCATTTTGGTGAGAATTTTCCAGAAAAATGTTATTCGTGATGGAATTCAAGCGCGATAGTGTGATCTCTTAACATTTGGTTGAAAACCCACAAGTGGCTATCGTTAGAGCACTCTAGCATTTAAATGTGAATAAATCTTTTGTGTCTCGTACCATCGATCGTTACTGGTAGCGTAGCCCGACACCAAGGAAGTGGACGAAAAAAAAACTGCAACATCAGCAGAAATGGTTCGAAAAGTAAAGAAGCGACTTGACCGAAAACCGCGTCGCAGTGGCCGAAAAATGGCTCATGAGCGGAACATATCGCAATATTCTATTCGGCAAATATTGAAAAAATGAGCTCGGGGTTAAGCCATTGAAATTCCAAAAAGTCCAAGAATTTACACCGCAACAGAAAGAAAATAGACTCAAAAGAGCTAAAGAGTTGCTTCGCTTGGCCGAAAGTGGAGAACTGCCGAATTTGGTCTTCTCCGATGAGAAAACATTCGTTGTTCAGCAGTTTGTAAACAAACAAAATGATCGTGTTTACTTGTCAAAGAGGTCAGCTGAAAATGTGCACCTTCAGTTGGCCACCAGAACTCAAGCGCCGCCCATGGTGATAATGTGGGCCGCCATAACATCCGATGGCCGCTCTCCGCACGTATTAATCGACCGTGGCATCAGAATTTGGTACAAATAAGTAAATTTTCCATAACTACCTACATCAAATCTTATATCCAGATTTCAACATTTCAGCTCTATCGTTTCACCCAACATTTTAATTGTACTAAATTTACTACCATTAAGTACATATAAGTACTAATTTTCGAAACTTCCTACATACAACAATGTTACAATCTGATAGTGATCTTATTTCCAAATTTCAGGATACCAGCTCTATAGGTTCATCCAAATTGTACCAAATTTAGTACCATTTAGTCAACATAATTAAAATATTCCATAACTATCTACATCATCCAATAGCAATCTTGTTTTCAAAGATCAGGATACCAGCTCTAATGGTTCTTCTAAAATTTAAATTGTTCCCAATTTAATACCATTTGGTACAGATAAGTACGAATTTCCAAAACTACCTACATACTCAATTCTACAATGCAATAGTAATCTTATTTCCAAATTTCAGCATTCCAGCTCTATCGGTTCACCCAAATCGAAATTGTACCAAATGTAGTGTAATTTAGTAATTTTGTGCACATAAGTACAAATTTCGAAAACTACCTCCATATCCCAATGCTACTCCCCGCCAGTAATGTTAATTTCAGGAATCCAGCTCCATTCCTTTCTCCAAATTTAAATTGTACCGAATTTAGTACCGGTTAGTACTTTTTGTATACATGATTAAACACTTTCAGAACTGCCTCCTTACATCGACCCTACTCCTCAGCCATAATTTTCATTCCAAATCTTTTAGCTCTAACCGTTCACATGATACGATATGGTACCAAATTTAATACATTTTAGTACTTTTCGTACACTTATACTGGTTCGTTAAATATAAAGAGTACCATATTTGGTACCTTTTAGTACTTTTTGTACCGTTCTAGTACGAATTTCCAAAAACCAGTCGTTTTAGCAATGTCCGTCCGTCTGTCTGTCTGTCTGTGGAAATCATTCTAGCTTCCGAACAAAATGAAGTAGGTTGATAAAATTTAACTCAAATGTGTATTATGTCTGCAGGACTTTTGGTATTGAAAATGGGTGAAGTGGTCCCTCCCTTCCTTTTTTGGTATTTTTTTGTGATTTAAGCGACATTATTAACAGAAAATGTTTCAAATTTGGTATTTGAAGTTCGTATGGGTACTACAGCCTATGACAGAAAATTGTCTGCGCAGGCCCACATTTTCGTATAGCCCCAATATAACGGTACCTCCCTATATTCGTAATTTGGATGATTTTAGCTACATTATTCACCGTATTTTTTTAAATTTTGAAGTCCACGTCGTCGTATAGACCCTAATATTTCGGTATTTTTAAGATTTTAACAGAATTTTTTAACGGATTATAATTATTATTATTATTTTTTTTTTTTTTTTTTTTGAAAATTGCCAATAGAAGTTATTTAAAGCTCGGCCCAGACGAACTTACAACTTTTTTCCTGTTTTCTTTTATTAATATAGATTTAAAAGGTTGTATACATTACCTTTGCTATAGATTCGACATATTTCTCATTCAATGGCAGACCTTCAAGTATTAGCACACGTAAGTTCTTGTTGTATTGAATGCAATTGGAAATTGCTTCCACAACTCCAGAAAATATAAATTTCGTAAACAACACTGGCTTCTGCCGAAAGAGACGGGCTTTCTTTTCCGTATCCAAGTGTTCGAGAACTAAGATGAACATTTAAAATATGCTCAATCCCACAAGAAGTTGTTATGGTTCCTACTCACCCATTGCAAAAGTTTTGCGCATGCGTATGGCTAATGTCTGCAACACCTGATCATAGTAGAGGGCCTCCACGATCAGCAACCAATCGTTGACATCTAATTTATCACCATAGAAATCCAGCGAGGAGGTACAATTATTTTTCGCCTTAATATCCGTTAATGGGGTTAGATTTTTTGCTCGACACAATTCCAAATAACGAAAATGAAACGAGCGACAGCGGGTCAGTTTTTTCGATGACGTACAACTTGATACATCACGCAATTCTAAATTGTTGCATTTGGGCATTGTGGTTACTGGCTTGCTGACAGAAATGAAAACAAAAATCGATTCAAAAAGATTTAAATGTATCCTGTTTCTTACATCCTTTGGGCTCTGCTGATGTTCCTGTGGCTTTGTTGTAATATTAAATTACGCTTCCGTTTTCCGTTCTATATTCCACTATTCGAGGAGAGGCTTGTACACGCTTCTGTCTGTCCGTTGACTTCGAAAATTATGAAATATTTTTTGGTTGTATTGGCTTTTTTTATGAAATATTGTTGTCAAATTATTTATTATTGTTCTTGTTGTATTTTTATTGTTTTTTGGTTTTTTGTGTCTCTTGGTTTTGATTGAAAATGTGCAGTCAGTTGAGATATTTTAATAATACTCACGTTCTCACGAGGTTCGTGCTTGTAAATTAAGTCATTAAATGGGTTAATGGTTTCGTTTTAAGACCAACATGTTTTAGGATCTCATTCTGGCCTATTTCGGATATTGATGTACTTTGTGTGAACCAGTACATGAAATAGTTTTAAATCAGTTAATCGTGAGAATGTTAACAAATTTTTGATATGCCATAATGCCTCTAAATGATCTACCGAACTTTTATATTTTTTTAAGATTCGGCTAAGGTAAAGAGTGTCATCGTGTTGCTCCCAAAACGTACACACAGAGCTCCATTATCAAAATAAGGCCTTAATGGCCGACAATAAATAAACTGGCCTCTTTTCCAAAAAAAAAAAAAAAAAAAAAAAAAAAACAAGTGAATACCCTCCAAGATTTGGAAAGAATTTGGAAATTAAAAAAAAAGGAATAAATAAATAAAAAAAATAATTCGTTATAAATTCTGTTAAAATCTTTAAAATATATAGGGAGTTATATATAGGGAGTTATCGTTATTTTGGGTTCTATACGAACACGATGACCAGCAATTTTCTGTCACAGGCTGTAGTGCCCATTACGAAGTCCAAATACGAAATTTTAACAATTCCGGTGACTAATGTAGCTAAAATAATCAAAATACCGAACATAGGGGGCACCGTAATATGGGGGATATACGAAGACCTACTGAGACAATTTTCTGTCACATGCTGTAGTTCTCATTGGGAACTACAATTTGAAACAAATTTGAAACAATTCCCATGAATAAAGTCGCTTAAATCGGTATACTCGGTATATCGGAAGATATCGGTATTTAGGGGCTACCTGCACAGACAATTTTCTGCCTTAGGCCTTAGTTCCAGTGAATAAAATCGCTAAAATCATCAAAATACGGAATATAGGGGGGTACAGTTATATGGGGACCTATTATGGGTAGGTTGTAGTACCCATTTCGAACTATCATAACGAAATTTGAAGCAATTCAGGTGAACAATGTCGCCTAAAACAGCCTATTTTCAATACCAATACAATACCAAAATACATTTGAGTAAAATTTTATCAACATACTTCAATTCGTTCGGAAACTGAAGTAATTGCCTCAGACGGACATACGTACGGTCATCGCTAAATCGATATAGAATTTTATGCTGATCAAGAATATGTATACTTTGTGGGTCTGAAATGTATATTTCGAGGTGATACACACTTAATATACCCACCATACTATGGTGGAGGGTATAAAAACATGTCAAAAGTATCAGATCTATTACCTATGCCTGTCTCAGTTTAATAAAATATATTTTGACTTGCGTTTTGGCTATTCAAAATGTTGACCCTTTTATGAAAGAGATACCGAAGAAGAAGACAAAAATTGTCCATTTCACATTTGACCTAACTCTGGAATAAATATTATTACGAAGTGTCAGGTTTGGACTATATCGACTACTTCCTGCTAGTAAATATTTATATGTTTAAAAATGTTGTTGTTGGAATGGACCTAAATAGAAATATTATTATGAAATGTATAATTATTCATTGTGGGGGAGATTTTGGAAGGTGTGAATCGATATGTTCAAACCTATATAAAAGCCTTAATAAAGTTTTACCTAAGAAAACGAAACTCCTTTGGAATTTTGATCTACAAATCCACAACCCAGACAGGCTTGTGGCGAAAAGTCGAAAAGTCAAAACTAAAATTTTAAATTTGTTCCAACAGTTCTTGTTAGGCCTTTTTAGTACTCAAAATGCATAATCTTATTAAATTCTTATGTATACTTATAATATCATACAGGTTAAGATGAAAAAACCGCAACCAACTTCAGACTGCTGTAATTTCTAAGCCACCCGTCCGACACTTGTTAAAATTATTCCATTGACAGCTCATTATATTTTTTACAAGCGTACAAAAGCATTTTGTCGAGAATTTTCCAAAAAAAAAAAAAATATTCGTGATGAAACTCAAGCGTGATAGAGTGATTTCTTTATATTGGCTGGAAAACAAGTGCTCGTTAGAGCACTCCAGCATTTAAATGTGAATAGATCTTTTGTGTCTCGTACCACCGCTCGTTACCTTGATACTGGTAGCGTAGCCCGACGTCAAGGAACTGGACGGAAAAAAACAACAACATCAGCAGAAATGGTTCGAAAAGTAAAGAAGCTACTTGATCGAAACCCGCATCGTAGTGGCCGAAAAATGGCTCGTGAACTAAACATATCGCAATATTCCATTCGCCAAATACTGAAAAATGAGTTCGGGGTAAAGCCATTGAAATTCAAAAAAGTGCAAGAACTTACACCGCAACTGAAAGAAAATAGACTCAAAAGAGCTAAAGAGTTGCTTCGCTTGGCCGAAAGTGGTGAACTGCCAAATTTGGTTTTCTCCGATGAGAAAACATTCGTTGTCCAGCAGTTTGTAAACAAACAAAATGATCGTGTTTACTTGCCTAAGAGGTCAGCTGAAAATGTGCGCCTTCGGTAGGCCACCAGAACTCAAGCCCCGGCCATGGTTATGGTGTGTGCCGTCATAACAGCCGATGGTCCCTCTGCGCTCGTATTAATCGACCGTGGCATCAGAATAAATGCCGAATATTATCGCGAAAATATTGTGGAGGGTGTTTTAACGCCTTGGGCACGCAAACATTTTGGCCGCAGACCTTTTACATTCCAACGGGACTCAGCATCATCGCACTCAGCACGCGCCACCCAAAAATGGTTACCGTTGGACTATTCTGTCTGGAGTATTTTGGAAGGCAAAGTTGGCACTAAAAAATACCAAAGTGTCGATCACCTCAAGCAAGCGCTTCCGGGAATGGGCCAAAATGCCACAGAGCAACATTCGGGCAGCGTGTGACGGTTTAATTGGCCATTTGAAGGCCATAATTCGTGCCATGAGTGGCCAATTCGAACAAATCTAAATTTATTTTAAAATTTGATGCTATTTCCGACCTTTTTTGCTTTCATTCAATAAAATTAAAAAAAAAAAATGTAAAAATAATGGCGTTTAAAATTTGATGCTATTTCCGACATTTTTTGCTTCCATTCAATAAAATTAAAAAAAATGTAAAAATAATGGCGTTTGACTTTGTTGCAGTTTTTTTTTATCTCACCCTGTATATATGGGAGCTATATCTAAGTTTTGACCGTTTTTTTTCAATTTCAATAGGATTCGTCCTTGGGTCAAACAAATGATTTGTGCAAAACTTCATATCGATCGGGCAATAAATGCGACCTGTACATTGTTTACAAAAATACATGGACGGACATGCATAAATCGACTCAGAATGTGATTCTATGCAGATCATCAAAAGGAACTATGGGTATATCTCGTTTCCTTTTGTCTGTTACAAACAAGTACACAAAGACAAAATACCCTGACCACCTTGTGGTTTAGGGTATAAAAAGTGATGTTGTCGGACAGATAATCCGTTTTTCGTTATTAGAAGTTTCATTTAAATACGAACTGTTTGATCAGCAAATGGTCAGATCATCTTCCCCTTTACAATACCAAATTTGAAACAATTATGTGGGTAAATGTGACTAGGATTATCAAAATACCGAATATCCGTGGGTGTCGTTATATGTGCGCTATAGGAAAACGTGGAACTAAATATTATATAGGGGAAACCGATCATTGTAGTAAAAAAACAAGTAAAAAAACATTAAGTTCGGCCGGGCCAAACTTTTAATACCCTCCACCCTAGGGTAAAAAAACATTAGAAAAAATGTGGCAAAAAACATTAAAATGCGAATATCGGGAGGTACCGTTATATAGGGGCTACACCAACACGTGTACCTATAATTACAATGTTTCGCCACACGAGCTAGGACCCATTATGACCCACAAATACCAACTTTTACACAAATCAGTGAAAAAATGTGGCATAAATCATCAAAATACCGAATATCGGGAGGTACCGTTATATGGGGACTATACCAGAACGTGGACCTATACATGCAATGTTTTGCTACACGCTCAGGGACCCGTTGTGACCTACAAATACCAATTTTCAGACAAATCCGTGAACAAATGTGGCATAAATCATCAAAATACGGAATATCGGTAGGTACCGTTATATGGGGGCTATACCAAAACGTGGACCTATACATGCAATGTTTTGCCACACGCTCAGGGACCCGTCATGACCTACAAATACCAATTTTCAGATAAATCCGTGAAAAAATGTGGCATAAATCATCAAAATACCGAATATTGGGAGGTACCGTTATATGGGGACTATACCAGAACGTGGACCGATATATCTCATTTTCAATACCAACCATCCTAGGGACAATACACACACTTGTGCCAAATTTCAAAGGTCTACGTCAAATAATGTGGGCTCTATCGTGATTTCAACAGACAGACAGACAGACGGACAGACAGACAGACAGACAGACGGACAGACAGACAGACAGACGGACATCGCTAAATCGTCTTAGAATTTTATGCTGATTAGGAATATATATACTTTATGGGGTCTACGACGAATATTTAGAGGTGTTACAAACGGAATGACAAAGTTAATATACCCTCCTACCCATGGTGGAGGGTATAATTATATTCTTGCAGTTCTGTATACACTTAAAATATGGAGATTCTAAAGAATCTTAATCTAAATATCTCCAAAAGTAAAAAGATTTTTTTTAATTTCTAAATGTTTACCATTTGTAGAGGTAAATCTCATCGGCAATATTCTTTCTTATTGGTGTAATTAATCACAATTAAGACATTTTAAACGCCAACTAGATGAACACTTGCTACTCAAACCAAATATGTCTAAATCATTTTAATTTATATGTATTCCCTGATCCACAGTTTCACATGATAAACCTGTTACCTAATAAAATGCCAACAACAATAATATGATAATAGGTTGGCTTTTCGTTAGTTTCATATCCATACAATGACCTTA